TACTACTAAACAGGAAAAGGAGGAGGAGAAGGACGAGAAACAAAACAAAATACAAAGTTCTGCTATGTGCAACAACTTGGATAAATCTCAAAAACAGAAAAAAATGCTACAATTGTATGATTTCATTCATATGAAGATCAAGAACTGGCAATACTGATGAAAGTCAGAGCGGTGGTTACCTTGGGGAAGGAGTGGTACTGATTGGGAAAGGGAACCTTCTACGGTGCTGGAAATGTTCTGTATCTTGATCACAGTGGGGGTTACCTAGGTTTATCTATGCGTAAAATTTTATTGAGTTGTGTACTTACAATTTACATACCTTATTGTGCGTGTTATATCTCAATTTAGAAAAATCAGGGCCACACCCGTGGCGCACTCGGGAGAGTGCGGCGCTGGGAGCGCACCAGCGCTCCTGCCATGGGTTCGGATCCTACATAGGGATGACCAGTGTGCTCACAGCGCTCACTGGCTGAGCGCAGTGCGGCCGGTCTCAAAAAGGACAAAAAAAAAAAAGAAAAATCAGTAACAGTATATATTTTTGTGGCTTATTCACCTGAAACTTTTATGTAGAGTAGCAAGAGTTGCCTTGATCAAAGAATATGCCCAAATTACAAGATGAGAGCAGTGACTCTGATATTCAACTCAATTCTATATTTTACAATTTTCAAATTTGTGTACAAAGTTCTCTGCATACACAAATGAAATGCTTTAAATAACTCAAGTTTTTAAGTCTCAAACAATTTCTTATCTCCAAAGTATTATATTTTTATAATATGAACTTTAACTAAGAAGACTGCATAGCAGTCAGCGCTTTCAAAAATGGAAAAAAAACCCAGAAATATTTCTAATGGCAGTCCTGCTGCCACACTGTTCTGGAATTCTTCATGCCCAGGGCACTAAATACTTTGCAAAGATTCAGGAGTTACCGTACAAATGCAGCAATAACTGAGGCCATTATTGTTGATTCCTTCCCCCTTTTCTCTTCTTCATTTATTAAGGATTTGAATATACTGGAGTAACTAAACTTGTTATTTTTTCTTAAGAGATGGGGGAAAACAAGCAATGCAACATTCAACAGAAACCATTTATGGTGATAAGAATCTCCTCCTGACAAAAAAACACAAACTTCCGCATATCTCTAAGACTTTTAGGGAACTCTCAGACTCTAAACAATTATGGGAAATAACTCATTAACAAACTTCAAAACATTATTCTTAAGCAGCCTTCACCTATATATTTTAAATGTGAAAGTTGTATTGTCATTTATCTCCAGGTATAATGACATTTTAATAAGCTCCTCTAGAAAGTGGAGAGCAGTTGCTCTTAATTGTGGGAAAAAACCTTTAATTTTTTTCTACGTTAAGCAACTCCATGCAGTTTACTCCCCAAATTCCTTTGACCTGGCAACTATACTTCCAGGGGAAAAAATCATAAGGAAAAAACATAAATACTGCTCAACAAACATGTTTTCAGAAGTTTTTAAAAGCTAATTTCAAAAACTTGGAAATAATAAGAGGAAACTCATGGCTAAACAATTTATTGTGCTTCTTAAAATGGAATACGCTGTAGAAATCAAACACGTTTTAGAATAATATTTTAAAATGTGGAAAAACATGCACAATATATTGTTGGGTTTTTATAAAGCAGGTTACCACATAGCACATATACATTCTCATTTTGTATAAATATGTATGTACACAGAAATAGATAAACTAGCTATGTGCTAAAATGTGATCTGTGCTTCTCTTTAGGCGGCATAATTATAGGTGATTTTCAGTTTATTCTTTTTTGAGCACTTAAAATTTTCCACAACGAAGACATATTATTTTTGTGATTAGATATTTTTTAGTCTTGTTAATACTAAGTTCAGGCTAGATTATTAAGTGATCTGTTTACTCAGTCTTCCTCCTAATAGTGATGATAAAATTTAATTATAATTGGTCCATTCCCTAAATGCTCAAGTTTTGGTTTTCTAATTCAGGTCAAACATGAAAAGAGACCTTAATACACATTAGTAATACAGCTATGAAAATCAATGAACTAGAGCTATGAATATTCATATTGATGAATCATACAATATTACCAGGGAAGAAAGCAAATTGATAAATACATACTGTATAAAACATGTAAAAATAATACTATATACTGTTCAATAGGGATACATACATATATATTTTACAAGTATAAAGAAATACATGAAAATGATAAACACTAAATTCATAATTCTGATAAACTATATGTGTCCTGGGTGATAAAATTGGGGAGGAAAAAGTAGGGGATATCAAATGTGTTGATAATTTCTATTTCTTAAAATAGTTGAAAGACATATGGGTGCTCATTATTTTATTCTTTATATCTTTTTGTATTAGGTGAAAGGAAAAAAGCTACCAATGGCTCTTAGGATTTCAATGTTTTATAGAATCCGTATGCAAATCATATTTATTCCTTATAACTGGTTCATATCCTTTCCCCAAATCAATTCTTTAAAATCCATTCTCAATTCTTCAGGCATTTAAGACTGATTGTCTATGCATTTGGGGGAAGCCTACTCACTAAAAACACAATAAACAAGAGGCAGTGTAATGTGAAGGTTGTTGTATCTGCTTGATGCAATGTGGCCCTGAAGCTGGCATTCATGGATGCTACAAAATGGGCTTTAGAATCCAGTGTTTGTTCTCATTATCAACCTGAATAGTAATTTAACTAATCGGTGGTTCATTTGAGATGTCTGTATTTGCCACACACAGTCCAAACAGCAGCAGTCACTGGTTGGAAGGCACAGTCTCTGTGGAAACATCAATATGCAAAGAAGGGCAAGACCTAACGTCCTTCTGTTAACTCTCCACCCAGCTGTTAAGTGCCTTTGTGAAATTAGAGTTGACCTATAAGTGCACTGTAATGCTTTAAAATGTAGTGTTTAAAAAAATCAATATGGTTGGGAAAGTGTACTAATTAGACAGCATCCGAGCAATTACAAAGTCAGTATTATGTCAACATACATTTTTATTACCCTGAGTCTAGTATTTATCTAAGAGAGACCTCCCAACTTCCTATTAAATATGTCCTTTCCAAATTACCAGCTGAAATCAATCAATACCTTCTCCTTGAATTCTGTGGTTAAAGAAATGAATAAAAGATAGTAGGGGTAAATTCGGAAGTAAGAAGTACTAGAAGGTTCTCTATTTTAAATGGAAAATGATTTGGGTAAAATTGTAGACCTTACTTAAGGAGCTGGTGACATATCCGCCTCAGGACACTACCTGAAGTAGGTGAAACAGAAGAAACTTTAACACCAGATACCCTTCAAACAATCTGGCATAGCAGGGGATATCCAGGAAATAACTACAGTAAACAGACACTGAACAACTGTAAAAAGTGAGTTTGCTTCTTTTAAACAAAGGCTTGACTATCACAGTGATCAAGAGGGTCACAAATAGAAGTGCATCAAGTAGCTAATGGTTTCCACTAACTGAGGATCTAAAATTAACGTGCACACAGGGAAAAGGGGCTGTTCTCAAAGTGCTATTTCTGCCAACACAGATTTTTACATGATGACAGCCATTTTCAAGATTGACAGCAAATAATGTGCCCAGATGTACAAAACTGATAGTTTTAAAGTTTCCTACAACATTCTGATTCTAAAATATATACATCGAGAAATGAATTCTACATAAAGTACAAGTTGGAATGATTCTGATAGATCCTTGTACTAAAAAAATGGGTTTTTTAAACTAACACAATTCTTCCTCCCCACCCCCCCACTCCTCAAAGAATGATTTTTTTTATACCATTCTGGCAGTTAAATAATAAAACTTAACCAAGGCACTAAAAAAAACAATTTTTTTTTTTTTTAAAGCTAGTTGAATATATCCCTATGCAACACTTTGAACTATTTTCTGGTATACCATTCTGGCAGTTAAATAATAAAACTTAACCAAGGCACTAAAAAAAACAATTTTTTTTTTTTTAAAGCTAGTTGAATATATCCCTATGCAACACTTTGAACTATTTTCTGGTCATAAATTCAAACATGAATTATACTATTTAGAGGTTTGACAAGAAATAAAAGGCAAGATTTGAAAAACGAAAAATCCAAGGGAAAAAATTACAATCTCACTCTACAGCAGATTGGCAGGTAAATTCTGATCCAATTTATCTTAGCAAGTATTAGAAGTAGTATGCCACCTTCCTTTTGGAAGCAGTAGCAAAAAAGTTCATAAAAGTGAAATGTTCACAGTAACTGAAGATTTATACATGTTATGTGTTAGTTGTGTTTCTACCAACAGCCATGGGAACATCTCCACTTGGACACCCCATAGGCCAAACAGCCCCAGCCTAAGTTCATCACCTCCTAACCCCAGACGGAATGTTCTTTATCTCACTTGCTCAGGTTAGAAATCTGGATGGTCTCCACGACTCACTTTTCTTCTTCACCCCCTACACCCAATCATCTAGCAAGTCATGTTGATGCTATCTGAACCTGTGTTTCTTATTCCTACTGCTGCTATTCCAGTTCAGACCATCATTATCATTCACTGTAATTTCTTTGAAAGTATAGTCAAATGTGTCAACTCTTTTTCACAGTCTGGACTCTCACTGGAGAATCACATTCATTGTCTTTGGTGGATTAGCCTGATGCTATTTTTCTTCAGAGATTAGCATAGTCAATGGAGACTCAGAGGAGTAATAATAAAATATAAAACTGCTAGCTTTAAAAGTTACAATTTTATTTTGAATTTCTGCTCCGGAATTATTGATTCTATAAACCAGAAAAAACTCAATGATCATCACTTTTTAACATATTTATCATCTTAAAAAAATTGAGTCAAGATACTAATAAATATTTTTCGATGTTGATCTTGAAATGGTCTTGAAGATATCTATCCTCATGCACAATCTAGGTGGCCAGAGAGTAAAACAAATAAAACCTTATATAACAAAGACTAAAGAAGGAAGAAGGGGAGTATATAATCAGATGAAAAATAAATAGCTAGATTTACCGGAATGCTTGATTCAAAATTTGATAATGAAAATGTTCTGGTGCTAATCCTATGACCACAGCATTAGGATCACTTGTTTGTATTCCTGGAAATGGAAAAAAAAAAAGATGTAATTGTTGAAAAGTGCAATTAAAAGCAGTGTTACATTTTATCACAAAGTAGTTTTGGTCAATCAAGTGCAAATTTTTGCTGTAGACATAAACTAAAGTTTAAGAAATTATACTGTCCAATGTACTTTGGAAGTATAAGAGAAGAAAGGGGGGGGGAAGCAAGAAATAGGGGTGGGAGATAGGAGAGAGAGAATGAAAGAAACAGACATTAGTCAATCAAGTGCAAATTTTTGCTGTAGACATAAACTAAAATTTAAGAAATTATACTGTCCAATGTACTTTGGAAGTATAAGAGAAGAAAGGGGGGGGAAGCAAGAAATAGGGGTGGGAGATAGGAGAGAGAGAATGAAAGAAACAGACATTCGTGCATGCACACACACACACACACACACACTCAGAGAGACAGACAGAGAGAGAGTTTCCTAATATTTTTCCATATTCCTTGTACATAGTTTTACAGTTACTCAGTAACTAGACGATCTGAATTGAAAATTGTAACCTGATGTTTTCCAACAAGTCACAATTTCTAACTTCAAACGGCTTTACTGATTACAATCAACAAGAACAGCCACGAGTTCCCTATGAGCTATTAGATCAATAGCAACTGATGAGGGACTGGGAATCTATGAGGCAAGGGAAATTAGACTTTCTAATTGACACAGTTGAGGTTACCACATGCATGATAAATACAGAATGCACTGTCGATTCTACAAGTTTTCTACATGATGCCTAATCATTTAGCTTCACAAATATTTCATAATTAAAGCATGTTTTAAGGCCTTGGTATCTGATAACAGGACTTCAGATATGACAACCAAACAAGAACATTCACCATCACAGTGGTTAGTCTGATTAAAGGTTCTGTGGATTATCCATATGCCAATTCCTATTTGCCTCTCTTATTGTCTGCAGATACTCAGGCTTTCTGATTTCCTTCTTACCAGTAGCCACGAGTATTGAGTAAAGTCAGTTAGTTTGTTGAAGGAAGAAAATAAAATTGTTGGCTACAGTAAGAGCTGCAGTTTTTTTGTGTGTTAATTCTTTTTATCTCCATTTACCACTAGTGGAGATATTCAATATTAGCAAAGATATTTCCATTCTCTTCAAAAACCCATCTACCTTGGGTATTTTCATGTATATAAAGATGTTGCAAGTATAGTTCTAGACTGAATGACAAAGATTTCTCCCAGACCAGGGACTCTGCTTATGTATTCCAACTCCAGCACACTGCTAAAAACAGCTCGAGTCTTAATATTCCTCAAAGTCGAAAGAGAAAAATCTGATAAAAAAAATGTTTGGTGATCTTTCAGCTCAGCCAGAAGCATAAATACATTGGTGACAGAATGAATTTGCCATTATTTTGTTGCCCAGTTTCTGAATATCATTCTCATAATTAGGGAATTCACTAGCTGATAAGGCTTGCTGTGAGGCAGAGGCTTTCCCTACAGAGGCTGAGAGTAGCAGATACTTTTCACTCTCCCCACAGAGGCTGAGAGTACCAAATATTTTTCCAGCCTCCCTTGCAGCTAAGGATGCTGGCATGCGTCTGAGACTCTGCCAATCAGAAGCTCCCACCCAGGGCTTTGAATTGGGAGCTTAACACAAAGAAGCAGGAAGTGTCTCCTCTGAAGAGGTGACTATTGATTTTATCAAATTCTGAAGTAGCAGTACTAGCTGACACATGTGATCTCCAGTGCCAGTTGCCCTGGTCAACAGGAAAGGTAGGTTAAATGCTTGTTTTACTCCCTTAATTTATTAATTTTCAAAGTAATGGATTACTACCCTAGTAACCTCCAATAGTGACCAGTGAGTTTTGTGGGGCTAAGTATCATTTTGAACTCATGGCTTTTTATATATATGACGTGTTTTAATCCACTACAATCATTATTCTTTTTGATACTCAATTATCCCTTCAAGTTGGCTCCAGTGTTCTATAGACATGACTTCACTAGTATTCAGTAGTGTCCTTACTAACACAATGAGCTATCCTAGACTCATCCTACAATGCCTGCCCAGATCTGGAATTAGTCATTTCTCCAAGGAAATGTAGTAGACATCACAGTCTGAGCAATGAGTCGTCATGGCTTTCAGGCCTTTTCAGTGCAAAATTAGGATACGTATTCTTTAAGAGAAAAAAGGAGTTGATTATGATATTTTCAATTCAAAGTTATTAATACACAGCTTTTAATTAACTTATTTTTATATTTGTATCTTTTTTCACTTACACTTAAAATCTTGGGTCCTAAGAATACTTACATAGTTACTGCTTTGCTTTATCCTATATCTATAATTTTAAAAATAACAATACCAATATTACTAATAACAATAAGACTACTGAATACAGTTTAAGATTTCTTTGTGGTTCTTTTGTCCTTAGAATTTATCCCACAATGAATAAATAGGTCAAAATAACTGTATTTTAAAGTCATTTGAAGTAACAGTGGTTATATGACCAACTTTATATAAAGTTAAGTTCATTTCCATTTGTTTTTAGTTCTTAGGGGCTGACTTTTTACTTTTTAATTGTCTTAATTATGTAAAATGTTACATGAATAGGTTTCAAAGTCAAAAGTATATAACAGAGTACTTTTAGAGAAGTCTCCTCTCTTGATCTCCTCCTCTTCTCTCCCTTCCCCTTTAGTAACCATTTTTATTAGTTTTTCATTTATCCTTCTTTGGCTTCCTTTTACAAATGTAAGACAAATACATATGTATATCTATTTCCCTCTCATTTTCCTACACAGAAAATGTATAAGGATTTCTATACCTTACTTTTTTCACTTAATATATCACTCCTTATCAGGAGATGGCACTCTTCGTCATTACTTATTTTCAGCTACAAAGCATTCCATTTTGAGAATATATCATAGTTTATTCAATCAGTCCCTTTCAGTGAACATTTGAGTTGTTTCCAATCTTTTGTTATTACAAATAAGGCTCTAATGAATAACCTTGTTCATATGCCATTGTGTCCTTTTGTAACTATGTTGTAGAAATGGATTCCTACAAGTGCTGCTTCATGTGTAATTTTGTTAGCTACTGCCAAATTCCTCTCCGGAAGAGTTGTGTCATTTTATATTTCTTTCAGCATTCAGATCCTTTTAATAAATTTATTTCATATTTAATTCAGCCAAAGTTGGTTTCTGTTTCTTACAAATAATAATTCTGATTGAGACACTGGTATATTTTCTATTAGTACAAGTTTTGAGGTTCTGCCCAACCGTATATCCATGCTGAACTTCTCTAATCATTATTTGTGAAGCCATCACATGGCTTTGCAATGAATATACTTTTACCCATTTTTCTATATTGTATTATTTCACTCTGAATATCATCTACAAAAAGAAGCAATGTGTCAAGCTTCATAAAACTTTATTTTTCCAGAATCTATTAATTTTTCCAAAGAGAAAAAACAATTTTATTTTCTCTTGATTGAAAAATATTTCATGTTCATTGTAAAAACTTCACACTATTCAGAATGACATCTATTTTTAAACAAGGAGCTCTTGGTTTATCTCATTTAATCCACATTAATACAGTGGCTCCTAGATTGAGGATTTTAAAACTCAAAGTAGTTTTGACTTGTGTTTTTTCAAACCGTGGGTCATGATCCATTAGTAGATTGTGAACCTAATTTGGAGGGCTCTAAGCAGTATTAAAATCAAACAAACAATTAATTAAACCAGATAGAAAATAGAGTACATCTTGTACAGTAAGTATTGTTTAACATATATAAACACACACATATATATGTACTGGGATACTATGTAATGTGTTTCTCTTATCGTGAGTTGCAGTAAAAAAAAGTTTAAGAAACACCAATTTAGATTCAAACTCTATCAATATTGTCGACCACTTCAATAATAACAGGGGGAAATCAGAATAAACACCTTGAAATACCCAGTTTTAAGAATGACTTATAAGTAGATATGAAGAACTAATTTTTAAATCTTTCTGAACTTCCCTCACCTTTGAAATCAGGTAGTGCTCGATCATCAATTAGCAGCATGGGCCTGACCTGTTTCTGCTCTACTAAACTTCTGGCTGCAGTCAGAGATGTGAATATTTCATCTTCAGAAATGTCAAACTCCAATTTTTTCAACCTTTCCAGTAGGTCTTGCTTGCTCTCTTTGGTCGTGTTGGTCACAAACCTAACCATTACAGAAGTACTACGTAACCTGGAAAAGTAAAATTCAGAAGTCAACAGGCAGCTTTTATATTTTAGTCCCATAAAAACTCCTAATTTGGTAGAACTGTGCCACATGTTAGAAGCTGAAGGATAACTCACTGGGTGTTTTTATGGCCAAAGTTTTTAAATCTATCCAGCACTGCTTACAAATTATCTGCACTCTGTGAACAGCTTCACCACTAAAGGCTGCAAAGTTAAACTGTAAAAGCTTTTTCTGAGGGCCTTATATATTCTCTCACTGCATTTTACTGCAGAGTTTAGTAAAGAAGCAAAAAACAGAGCTTAGTAACCACTGTGCTCACAGAATATGAGAAGTGAAAGTTTTCTTAGAGATCCTGTACAGCCCTCTCTTCTTTAAGATGAGAAAATTGAGGCCTAGATGAGTTAAGTGACTTGCCAGCTTTATACACGGGGGAGACAGTAGAGCTGAGACAAGAACTCTGATCTTCTGTGTCATGGTATAGTGTTTGATCGCCTATACGAAAAGAACAGAAGAAACCTCTGTATATTATCAGAGATTAACTAAACCCTAATATGTTGCTAAGTTTATAAACAGAAACTACCTGGACAGCTCAAAGAAACATTCTGTTTTTATAGACTAAAATATGTCTTCCCCTTGAACTAGTTATATACAGGATTGATTTGATTCCATGATCTGCTTTTGAAACCTAAACTGGCAATCTAGTATCAGAGAAAAAATTCATGATAGCCTTCTTTAAAAATGAAAATTATGTCCTTGATCCTATAGTGTTTTAATCCAAAATCTGAAAATAATTTTAATTTAGCTAGAATTTAGAATTTAATATTAATGCTCTGTTGCTTTTTATTTTATGCTTTCTCCAAAAGGCCACAAGGCATAAAAACACTAATCACAATTTAAAACAAACAAGCAAATAAAACAGAAAAGATATTTTAAGTATTTACCCAAAGAACATTAAATAAATTTATATAATTAAGTAATTCACTATAATCATGATTATCTCTATAACACCGTGTAGTCATTTTTCTCCATAACACATTAAATTTGGTGATTTATCTCTCAAAAGAAATTGATTACTTGAACATAACTATTATCTTAAAAATGAACAAGTGTTAGTACTGAAATAGCCACATAATTCTTGATGAGTTTCTTAAAAACTTTTTGTTTTACTCGTCCCTCAACTTCTCGTAGTCTATTTTTCTATAGAAACCAAAACTGGCAGTGCCACTATAGTGACTTCTTTGGGATAAGAACCTGCTCAGTAACAGAAAAATCTGTAGGCTCTTGCCCCTCCAGAATGGCAGGCTCATAGTTTACAAAGCTACTTAAGAGGGGTCAGTGTTCACCAGAAATTAAAAGATTTTTCATTCAATCCAGAGTAGAAAGCTTATCTTTAAAGCAGCAAAAGTTCTATCCAATGGGAGCACACAGATCAACAGATGTCCTTTCTCCTAGAAAGCCTAACTCAGAGAAAGACCATATCAAGGAGTCAAGAGAAAGTCCAACTATGCAAGTGATTTTCTTCTGACTTTAAACAACAGATTATCCACCATTTCTCCACCTATAAAATGAACATCATGACTGCCAACTAAACTGATGGCTCCCAACTGATTCCTACCAAGATATACAAATCTGTATTTCCTGAATTCCCCAAATGGAAAGTAAGCTCACTGAAACAGTGTGAAGTCTGTGTCAATGTTTTGCCCTAACACCTGGTACTGTGACACTTCTTATTAAGAGCATACTACGAACATTTTAAGGTTCGAAAATGACAAGCACCACATGCTGAGTATTGCTGTTTTGAAAACTTCTCTAGATTACTCTAAGATAAAGATGCTTAATACCAGTTACTACTTCCGCCGTGTTGATGGGTACTTTTTTCAGGACACCCAGAAGCAAACATTCACATTCAATTCACTTTAATATGCTTTTACTGTATATCCCTAGTTTGTATTAGACTGTTTAATATTGTGGTTGGTACATCAGAAATATAAGACAGTCCTTAGCCTTTGAAAGTATTAAATTTAGTTGATGAAAATAATTCTAAAATTTCAAGTCCTTTAGTTAAATTTTATTTGAGCAGTTACACACTCAATGCTAGATCTTAGAACAAGCAGCAGGGGGCAGAAATATGCATGCGTGCGTGCATGTGTGTGTGTGTGTTTCATTTTGTGATTCCAGGGGACAGAAATATGCGTGCGTGCATGCGTGCACGTGTGTGTGTGTGTGTGTGTGTGTGTGTGTGTGTTAAATTATGTGACTCCAGGATTCATTTGTGATTTTTCCAATGCTATTTATTCCACATTTTAAAATCTTGAGTTTTCATTCCCAAATTTACATTACTGATTTAGAGACATACATACATAAAAAGCCAGAAGAATAAATTAGATGAAAAGGCCAAGCCTAATAAAGCTTAGAGAACAATGTTTGGAGGACATTACAATGCATACATCTTGGTAAGCTGGTGAAATGCCGTCTCAAGGCCATCCATTTAGCTAATGATCTGCCTTGGTAAAATGGCACTTACAAACATATTTGTCAGCTGAACCTGGAAGATAGCTTGCCTTTTAAGAGCTTCCTGTGCGCCTGGCACAGCTGCATCTTCAATGTGAAGTGTGCCACTGAGATCCACCAAAACAGCTTTTAATGCACGGCGTGCTGCCATCCTTCATTCCCTAGGAGAGAGCAAATGAAATTAAAAATACAGTTTAGGAAACAATGGACGATTAAAAACTGGTAAGTCTTCAAAAATATCACTCCTATCCAGAAACTGCTTAGTGTTAAGCTGCTTTTCTTTTGGGAAAAAAAAAATGTTTTTAAAAATCAAAAATCCAGAATTTGTTTCATAAAACTTTTACAGTACTTAGAGTTTTTGTTTTTGTTTTAAATCACGAATTCAAACTATAAGAAGGGAAATGCTAAAAGAGATGTTGCTATCTACTTTCAGGTTTTTAAAAATAACTCTTTGGTTAACAATTCAATCATTTATTTTATTTTTAAATATGAGTTTAATGCACTGTCAAGAATGGGTGGATGGAAGCACTAAATCATTAGCAAGGTCTTCTTCACCTTTGGTTACGTATAATGAAAATGTTCTAATCGTCCATCTCCACTGCTATATTCTGAAATGGCATATGTGGCCAAGGAGCTACCAGTATTTACAGGTCACTGAGGAGGAAATTTCAAGTTTTACAGTAATTTAAGTAAGAAGATAATTTATTTTCCTTACAAAGTGCAGCTTTCCTTTTGCATATCTTCTCTTTAAAAAATTTCTATTATGGGGCCAGCCCGTGGCTCACTCGGGAGAGTGCGGTGCTGATGATACCAAGGCCACGGGTTCGGATCTCATATAGGGATGGCCGGTTGGCTCAATGGGTGAGCGTGGTGCTGACAACATCAAGTCAAGGGTTAAGATCCCCTTACCGGTCATCTTTTAAAAAAAAAAAAAAAAAAATTTCTATTATGAGCTGTATCATGTAGCATATAATACAAGTACTCTATGATAATTAATAAGAGGGTGGGTAAGAACAGTAGGGAAACTAAAGAGAAGGGGATGGGACTTCACTTTCTTAAATTCATTAATTCATTTATTCATTCAGTCATTTCTTCTACTTATTCATTTGTTTTTATAATGAAATATGTCAGACATACAAAAAGGTATTGAGGATTAATACAACCCCCTTTATACATCATACAGCTTCAGAAATAAAACATTACAGATATAGTTGGGGCCCTCTGTGTACCCTCTCTGATCTGATTGCCCTTCTTCCTCTGCCCAAGGTAGCCACTCTCCTGATTTTGATATATTCAAATCTCTGTGTTAAGGGTGTACACCTAGCAACTTGGTTTATCACTCCACCTTATGTCTGTGAGCTGTATCCATGTTAATAGATGCAGCTATATTTCATTTATTTCCATAGTGTATGGTATTTTATCATATAAATATATCACAATTTATCTATCTGTTCTCTGAATCATGGACATCTAGGTAGTTTTGCATATTTTATCACAACGAAGGGTGCTGCTATGAACATCCCAGTACATAACTCCTGGTGGACACAAGTGTGAGCATTTCTCTGGGTCTTGCTGAGTCTGAGGGTGTGTGATCACCTTCACCCTTACAAGAAATTGCCAAGTTGCCCTATCCATTTGTATCTTCATAGGGCAAATGTGTACTGAGCACTTACTACGTGTCAGGCCCTGGTATAACAGCAGAGCTGAAGGAGCTGTCTCCTTTAAAGTGAGTAGCAAAGGCAGAAGTTCAAAGCTCAGCTAGAAAGAACCTGGGAAGATATAAGTAGGCAATTACTAAGAATCTGTGGAAAATATTACAGGAAGAGCTTTCAGGGGTTTATGGGGTCTTACCTGGGGACAGACGGTAGATGGAAGACCTCTCCTAGCTCACTCCCTATGAGATGCAGTCAAGAGAGCTCAGGGCTGGCAGTTGGCAGGCCCAGGTTTGGCCCTGGTTCTGGCTCAAATACTCTGTGTGACCTTGGCCAAGTTTACCCTGTCTGGCCCTAAGTTTCTCCTCAATACTTGGACAGGGAGGCAAGATGAAGCCTTAATCTTTGTCTACCGCCTATAGTCAAGAGATCTGGACTGAGAGAATCAATGTGTTATATTATGCCCTAGAGCCTTGATTTTCTCCTCTTCAATGTGGGCTTGCTAGCCCCAACCAGGCCCATCACCCAAGTCTGCCAGGAATACTTTAGAGTGTCCAGTATTATCCTTTGAAATGTTGTTCTACCTTAGGCGCACTCCTGTTAAGAGGCAGAGGAATGGCAAAGAGGATCCCTGAATTTCCTCCAGGCTTCTGGTTTTTAGCACATTTGCTCCTTCCATTTCTGCCTGAGCATCTTCCCCAGACCCTCCTCCCATTTCAAGTCAGCCATCTCCACACACAAGGTATTGCTATGGGTTTAATGTGTCCCCAAAAAGTTCATGTACTGGAAACTTGACCTCCATTTTAACAAGTTTTAAGAGGGTAGAAAATCTGATTATGGTATTTGAAAGGTGGGACCTTTGAAAAGTGATTGCATCATGAGGGCCATGCCATGGATACATGGATACACTAACTCTTTTGCTCTTGTGATTCTCCATATGATACCCTGTTTGCCATAGGACTCTGTAGAATTCCACAAAGAAGAAGGCCCTCCCCAAATGTACCTCCTAGACCTTGGACTCTCCAGCCTCCGAAACTGAGAAATAAATTACCCAGTATCAGGCATTGTTAAAAGCAACAGAAAACAAATACAGGTATAAATATAGAAAATAAATAAAGCAAGAGCAAGCCTCAGAACTGAAGCAAACTGCCGGTAAGCCCTGGCAACTGACTAGCAAGCATAATGGACATCCATCAGGCATCTTGGAGAGAAATGCATTTTCCTGCAGGATAGAGCTATCGGCATGGGCCAGGCTGGGGGGGGGAGCAGAAAAGGGAGGCACAGAGATGGTGCTCCAGCTGGACTCAAGGAACCCACAAACCAGGAGGGCCCTAGGCATGCTCTCTCATGATGCTCTGTTCCTTACACATGTTCCCCAAAACTGAGCAGGGGTCTCCCCTCAGCAAGCTAGAACCTGGGGCCCAAGTGAGGCAGATGCAGATGGTGGGGGAAGTGAAGCTAAGTGGTGAGGGTCAGAGAGATCCAGTGTCAGCTAAGCCTCCATTTCCTCATCTGTAAAAAGGGAAGGGTAAGAATAAATATCTTCCAGGGTTGTAAGGATTCAATGAGTTAAGGAGAATGCCTAGCAGTGATAAGTACATAGCAGGAACCTGAAAGAGGTGAGCCCTCTTCCTCCCCACTCGTTTGTAACAGGAAATACCCCTTCAACTCCCCCCAAAACCTATGGCCTGAAGCCACAGAGCAGGACCAGTAAGGCACAAGAGAAGCATCTGGGAGAAAGAAGGAAAGTAGAATGAGCTCACATTTATTGGATACTGTATGTGTTCTGCACTGTGCAAAGTGCTCTGCAGACTTTATTACTTCATTTAAACTTCTCAGCAATCCTATGCAGATGAGGAAATGAACACTGAAAAGTTACTAATTTGTCCATGCTATTAGTTTTGACTTTGAACCATGTTCATGTTTTACAGATTCAAATATAAATTAAACCAGCCCTAAAATAGAAAAACAGAAAGGAAGTAACCTAGTCAAGAAAACTTTTACTCATAATACTCTGATTCTATTCCTTCAAGAGGATATATTTAAAAGACAAAAAGAACTGTAAGGAAACCTTGAACTTTACTTAGTAGGTTTGCTGTTGGTAATGGTAGTGGTAGAGTTCCAAAACTATTTTGTGTGCACTGTAGGACTGAGAAAATGAGTAAACATGTTGATCTTAAAAATCAGGGTTCTCAAGTAGGAGAAAAGAGATATAAACGTGGACTAGGAGGAGAGGAAGAACCCTGTGGTATTGGTTTGGAATTGTAGGTGTCAGGATGAATTCATGATTTTAAAAAAATGCATGTCTTAGCTCTGTCCACTAAAAGGACCAAGAAGCAACAACACTCTAGTAATCATGAGCACACTAAGTCCACAAAACCAGGATTGGGGCAGGGAAAGTACAAGAGGAGCCTGAATGCAATGTTTTACCAGATCACAGGTGGGATTACGGAAGCCAGCTTGAAGGGGTTCCCACCCGCCAAATATGAGGCAATTTGAGCACCGAAATAAAAACTGACAAGAATGAATAACACACTGAACTAAGAAAAAATCAATGAGTCCACGCTAACACTAAAAATATTTATTAAAGAGATGGGAAAGGGTAAGCTCTTTTACAGAAGAATGCCAATTAATAAATGTAGAAGAAATGCTAGAAATAGAAAATCGACATTTTACAACCACCACAGTAATAACTGATTCAGGCAGAAATCATCAATGAATGCCAAAACCACTGGATGAAAATTTGTTGGGGAACAGTATAATCACCCACGCTCAAAGAATCACCCACAGATTATTACCATTCATTGCAAAGGAAAAAGATTCTTATTGATGTCACCAAAGGCAAAAAAAAAAAAAAAAGAGCTGGGGAAGTGTTTCAGATTAAAGACATCTGAAGAGACATGAAAACAAAATGCAATACTTGAGGAAAATATAAAACAAATAGAGCAAATATTAACAATTACTGAATTTTGGTGAAAGTATATGATTGTCACTGCATTGTTCTTACGACTGTTTACGTCAAGAGTAGGGGAAAAATAAGCTAATAAGTGATTTCTTTTAAAAATGGACTGAAGGCAAAAAAAAGGGCATTTTCATACCTAATAATAATAATAGTTATTAAAAAAAAAAA